GTTCTGTGGGGGGGGGGGGGAGAGGGAAGGGGCAGTTGCTGGGCAGCCCAGGGAGAGCCTGGCCCTGCTGGGAGCTGTGTCCCCACGTGGGCAGGGACCCGCTGGGAGAGGCTGCTCTGCCCCAGCAAACAGCCAGAGCCCTCATCCTTCACCCAGCAGCTGCTGTGAAAGGGGGGTTTCCCGCACAGAGCTTTCATAAACAGCAATGTCTTTTCTACATATTTTAGTGCAAAGACTAGGCTTGTTTGCCCTGCTGGTACGGGAGTCACACAGGATTTGTGCAAAGGGCTGTTTTGTCACCCTGGCAGTTATTTAAATGGCTGCCGGTACCGATGTCTCGCAGCATAAGGCCAGCCTTGCAAAACACTGACCCGGTTAATGGAAGAGCTAAGTTCTCTGGGAGGGACGTGCCCACGGGCTGCGGCTGACGCTGGGTTGGCAGCTGTGCATGCCCGAGGTAAGAAGGGGGATGATGCTTCCGAAAGCCAGATCTGCTGGCCCATCTCCCAACAAGCTGTTGTCTGACTGGGGTGCGGTAGAAGGCAGCACCTTCCGAACCGCTCACAGCCAGCACGCATGTCCCTCGGACACCTGTGTTGCTGCTGGAGCTCAGCACCCGTCCCCACAGCCTGCTGGCCTCCAAAGCAGGCTGTGCTTTCTGCAGGCTGCAAGGAAGCAGGCAGACGGGGATTAGGAGGGGTTTATAGGCACAGCCGGATTTGTTTGGAAGCGCTGATGAGGTGGGATATCGATCTGCAGCCCCATCCCTTTCACAGGGCTCCTGTCTGCAGAGCAGGACCCTGGCAGCTGGCAGAGCCTGACAGAGCAGGAGCTGAGCCCGGCAGAGCAGGGAGGAGCAGCAGGCACCATGCAGAGCCTGCCTTCAGCAGCTAGCTCATGCTTCACACCTGAAAGCTGTGAGGAGCTAAACAAGAGCAAAATAATTTTATTAACAAGGAGGTCACTGGCAGGTGTGGCAAATTAGGGTAATTACAAACAGTTGGAGGATATGTCTATGGAGAGCTCCAGTAACTGCAAAAGGTAAAGCTTGCAGATGCACGTTTTAAAGTGATTTCTTTAAAAGAGGAAGGTAAATAAGGCAAAATGAGCGGAAGCACAGTAATGAGATAGACATAGCTCTAGGGAGAGAGTCTGCCTGCTCCAGGATACAGCATAGTTAGCAGCATCGTGATACTGCTGGAAGAGAGCGCTGGGGATTGCCGCTCGGCTGCCTGCTGGCCTGGGGCGCAGGCAGTTTGATTGCAACCAGCCCTGAGGGGAAGGGAGCTCTGAAGGAAATGTTTAACCAGTGCTTTTGAGAGGATGTTCTGAGGAGAAGGAGAGCAGCCGACATCGGCTCGGAGGGAAGGCACCGCAGCTGTGCAGATGCTGCTGCTGTAACCTGTGCGGTGAGAGCGCAGCAGTGGGCCGGCTGCCTGCGGTGCCAGAGGGGCTGCGCTGCTCCCCAGCCGGCGCTGCCTTGCTGTTGGGCTGGCTGGAGCACGTGCTGGGCGGTGTGCTTCAGAAGGGCTTCGCTTTCTGGCAAGGCTGCGAGGCTGCACACCTCAGTACCCATCCCATGCGGCGCGAGAGCCTGGGCCTTGCTCAGCCCTCGGCAGGAGGGTGTACAGATGGGTCTCCCTCGCAAAGCCCCGAAAGCCACTTGCTCACAGAAGCCAATTAGCTCAATGAGTGCTACGTAAGGACATGGCAGTGAGGCCGCCAGGTCCTTTTCCACTGTGCTCACCCCAGACACCTGTGCAGAAGCCCCAGCTGACCTGCTGCTAAAGGGAAAGAGGTTCGTTAGGCTGCTGTCAGCACAGAGTGATTTAACAGCCGAGAGGTTCAGGTTGGGTTGCATACTTGGGTGCGGAGGTGCTGCAGGCAGGCTGCCTGCCCAGCTCAGCGCCCTGCCTTGCCTTTCGCTTCATCACATTCTCTGCCACAGCACACAACTTGGCCTGCGCACCCACGGGATGAAACCCCAGGTGGAGGTGGATGGCACAAAGCCAGAAGCAGAGTCCAGACCCTTGCAGGGCTGGATGTAGGAATGTGGGTGTTGCAGCCTGCTGCCTGCTCTGCATGGCATCAGGGCAGAGCCCAGCTCCAATGGAGAACTGCCCCAAAGAGATCAGGGGTACTAAGATGGTGCTGCCATGTTGCTGCGTGCTGCAGCATGGGCATGTGAGATGAGGGTTGCTTCCACCCCAGCTGACCCTGCCAGAGACCTGTTTGCGTCTGGAAGAATAGCTGTGGTTTTCTTTTCTCATTTCAGACGGAAAAGGCGTAACTTCAGTAAACAAGCCACAGAAATCTTGAATGAGTATTTTTACTCTCACCTCAGTAACCCCTACCCCAGTGAAGAAGCCAAAGAAGAGCTGGCAAAGAAATGCAGCATCACAGTATCGCAGGTAAGCAGCGGGTGGGAGCGGGTCCCTGCCCCCGTTCCTCCGCATCCCGGGCAGTGCATCGACCTCCCGGCTCCCCTTGCAAAACTGCCGTCTCCCGCTGGGCTCTGGGATGTGCTTCTGACAGAGGTGTGCGATATGGAGCAGGTCCCTGCCCAATGCACCTTCGTAATCCCTTCAAATTTGCATTACTGACCGTGATAAAGTTCAGCAGGGTGATGGAGCATGACTAAGCTCTGCAGGAAAGGCAGCATGCCTGCGGGTGGCTGGGGTTGTGCTGGGGTAAGAAGAGTGTGCGTAGAAAGATGAAGGTAGAAATAAAAAGGATATAAGATTAGCACCCTACTTTACGTCAGCTTTCTCTCTGCGCAGTCAGTAAGATTCCTGGCTGAGCCTTACTGTCTGTTATGAATTCATTACGACTTACCATTATTTTGGGGGAAGGCCAGTTTATTGACAAACATATAATCTATCTCTATAGATCAGAATTTCTTTGATTGCTTGAAGTTGTTTTTCTAAGCCAGCCAGAAATTCAGCCTCTTGATACGCTGAAGTGACATGAGTGGTTTCGCTGTAGCAAAAATGTATTAAGCAGATTTGCTCCTTTTATCACGTATAACAGATGTTACTGTGAAGTTAATGCAAGAAAACCAGCATCTCCCTAATCAGAAATGCACACTCTCGTTGGCTACGGCTGCTTTCTGTATAGGCCAAAGTACATTTACAGCTCCGGACTGGTGTCTCGCAGCAACGTTCAGGCTGATGGCACTGCTCCATCGAGCTTTCCTTCACCTTTCCTTCACCAGATAGCTTAAAAAGCAAAAGAACACTTTGCATTTCTTGTGGCCTGTATGTTTGATAGAAAACCAAATGAGTCTGGCTCATACAGCTTGGGGAAAGTTGCACTTGGGTGGCAGGGAAAGCTCACCAGCAGTTTCCAAGTTCTCCAGCCACCTGGGGGGCTGGTGTGCCATCTCCTCCCAGCTCCATCAGCTCCGCTTATCAATATTTCAGGTCCTTTAGAGGAACAATGCCTGCGGCGAATGTGTTAACTATTAATGATTGCAGGCTGCAGTATTGGCATTATTAGCAATGCAACCTTTAGCTTTATAATTAAGACCTGCGTTGAGATTTACTTTATAGGCCTCCACTGAATGCATGAAAAATTCAGGCACTTTATTGAAGACTTTGAAATGAAAGGCCGCCCAGCTCCCCCAAATTTGATATTACTTAATTGACTTTGGATGCACCTGCAATACAAACCCTAGCAAAACTGCCCTATGACATGAGAGGCCATTGGAGATGTGTGTGTGTTTGCCGTGCTCTCTCCTTGCTCGTTCCTCAGCACGCACTGTGCTTCGAGTGGGGTGGGAAGCGCATGTGCCCAGTGCCAGGGGACAGTAAGGGATGGAGATGGGGACAGTTTCTCCCAGTTCACTCAGGAGTGGCTGGGGGGGGGGGGGGGGGTCAGGAGTGGCTGTGGTGATGAGCAGGAATTTTGGGGGGGAAATCCAGCACCAAACTCATTCTCTCTCACATTGCTCCTTCATCACTGTTAGCATCACGCGAGCGACTGCAGCCCCGGCAGGTACAGGGGCAGCCATGGTGACCACTGGGCAGCTCTTCCATGCCCACAGGCATCCCTGTGGCTGCCTGGAACTAGCCAAACAGCCCGAGAGCACGTAAGTACCTGGGCATCTTGGTCTGCAGCCCTACGTCTTGTTGCTGGTTTCAGTCCTCTTGGCATGAGATGGTTTATAGCAATTCCTCTAGTAAGTGGTGTCCAAAAATCCTCCCACGTGAGCTGAGGCAGCCTGCTGTGTAGTTAGGAGAGGCAATGCCATCAACACCAACTTGGAGAAACCAAAAGTTCTTCAGCTCTGCTGGCAAAATGTAGTTGGGAGAGATTACATGGTAGAGAGCACCACAGACTGGCTGAAGAGATGTTTTCTGTCCACCCAGCAGATGGTGAATTGTGCCTGGCAGAGAAGGAGTTAGTGATCCCACGGAGCGGACAGGTGAAAAGCTAGGTCTAGATAAGGCTGAAGTGACTGAAACATTTGAGAAGCCATAACTGATTGCTTCTAGTGCTAATAGATCTGATTTCTTTCTTAATTGGTTGGTTGATAAGATTTAATGTATATGTTGTAGAATGAAATAAAAGGCAGGCAGATGGTCCAAAAATGTAGCAGCAAGCAGTGAGCCTGTGACTTGCATATAGGTTTGTCTCTTTAATATTTGATACAAGCATGAATTAGTTGTTTCTTGAATCCATTAGGAAGTCTGGGTGAGTGATGGGAGTAGCTGCATTGCGTCCTCCGTAGCACCGCGTACAGCAGCCTGAGCTTTGCAGGGTGACATTTTCCAGCCTGGAGCAAGGGCAGCACTGACCACGCAACCTGGGCACTAGCTGCCAGAGATGGAGGTTTGGGGCCATGGCCGGAGCTTCACTCTGGCAAGATATTATAAATGGCTAGGAAAAGCTCCAGATGATGGGAAAGCCTGAAAACGGGGCAAGGCATCATCTAATGGGAGAGGAGCATGTATGTGAGAGAGGGAGTGCCTGTGATCAGCTGGTTGCTTAAGTTCCTGATAGATCTGCTGTCACAGCTAGAAAATGTGAATACTATGGATACCCTAATCTTTGATTTTCAAAGGCACTTCTAAAGGCCGCACAGCAGGACTGCAGGGTTAGTTGGTATTTACTAGGTCAAACTGTGCTGGAGTTGTCTTTGTACTGAAAAATGTATATATTTTTGAGGCCATCTAGCAGAAAAGCTCTGAGCAAGCACTGTAAAATAGCCCAGTGCACACTGCTCTGGTGGTTGGCAACAGAAGTCAGAGGATGCAATCCAGAAATCAGGGGTGAATTGAGCAGTCATTTAAAATACTGGCAGGAGTAGCATCGCATGGGATAAGCAATGGCATCCAAGCGAGTGACTGAGCTACACCTTGCACAGGGCTCTTATGAAAAATCTCTGAGCGCACGTATTTCCAGCCTCGACCAGGAGTCCCTCAGACGTCGCCCTGCCTGGCACCATGCCCTATTTACCTCCTGTGCTACAAACGCCCCGGAGGTGCAAAGAGCTGGGTGTGAGGGGGGGAAGTTAATGGATGGCTTTCCAAACTCCTGAAGGTTGTGGTTCATGTTTGATGAAGAGGCTTTGTCCTTTGTCTGGCTGAGCCAGGCTTCCCCTGTAGCCTCTCCTAATGATGATCCAAGGTGTTTCTTTCTTGTACCATAAGTGCCTTGTAAATGCTGGGGGCAGATTCATGGCAGAACATTTTCTCCCGCAAACACTTAATTAGTGAGTGTTTTGGGTCGTCCTCCCCCCAGATTAAGCAGCTCACTGGAAATCTTGCTGCCATAGCACTTTACTGAGCTGCAAAGAAAATTGTCTCCCAGAATCATTTAGTTGCAGATGGGAGATAGATGGTTTCAGTTTTGATATCAGTGTTTAAAATAATATGTAGAGAAGGTTTTTCAAGAAAAGCATAAAGACAAACTATTTATTAAGATGAACACCTCACACAATTTCATTTTTAAGAGTGCGGAAAAGGTAATTCTAGGGGAAAAAAATGTCCTTAACAGAGAACATCGTCGGCTGTAATTTAGAGCTACCCGATCAGCACGTGTTTGAGGGAGATAAACTGTATCATCTGTTCTCCCCTTACCATGGCTGCGAGGCTGATGTTTTATACTTTTGCAGATGAGCCTCTTTCAGGGTGTCATGAACAACTATCAGTCTATCATATGGGCTATAGAAAGGGCATAGTCATTGCTGAAAGCGTGTCAGTGGATTACAGCAATAAAATTTTTCACTGCTTCAAACAAAAGAAGGATGTGCTTGACAAGGGAATATATTTAAAATTCTTTTAAAGAAAGAATGCAGAAGCTGGTTTTCAACACCCCTCCTGCCCCTGTTTCGTTTGAGTCTGTCTGTTTCTGTAAGCAGATTGACAGGGAGAGCTATGGTTGTATAGGCTCTTACCCCTTGACTTCATATGGGAAGCAAGGAAAAAAAAATGCAAGCTTAATTAAATAGTTTCTAGAGGTAAAATTCTTAGTTTTTTGATCATGTACCATAATTGTGCCACACTGATTTTCAAAATTTTCTATTTCGTGTCATCTGATTAGGTGTGGAACATAAACTGTATGCTACAAACACTTGGAAACACAATGGAAAAATTTCCGTGATCCATAAATATGTAGTTCACTAATTTCAGCAGTGACGCTCTTGTGTCAGCTGCATCTTTTGCAGAACGAGCACTGATTTATCCCGTGAAATCAGCCAGTGCGGAGGCACAAGGCAGGCCTGCCCCATCCCAAATCCCACATTAGGCATCTTGATGATTTAAGTAATAATTTATTGTCTTTTTATTTAACATTGCAATTAACATGATAAATAAGTGCAACAGTATTGTTTGAAATGTAATATACAATTAAGCCCAATTAATTAATTGGCCTTCAATGATCAGGAGGAGAAAGATGTTCATTGTTTTTTTATGTGAAGAGATAGTTTATTTTAATGAAAAATGTGTTGTGAAGCAGCTCGCAATGGAGACAACTTTCATTTTTAGGGTGAGCGTGGGGCTGGGCAAGGAGCCAGGGCACTGCGGCTCCTCCCGGTCCCAGTGCTGACCTGGGGGGCAGCCCAGCATCAGCATCCCGGCCCTCCCCTGGGACGCTGCTGGTGCCAGCGGCAAGGGCAGGGCGAGGTGTGCTCCAGGTGGGCGGAGGAAGCTGCAGGCAGCCAGCACAGCCCCACAGGAGAAATATCATGGCGGTAAATCCAGCCTAAATCCTGCCTGGCACAGCCTCCGCTTGAGCAGTGCCCTGGCCCTGTTCTGGACGCGTCCAGCCGCCCGTGTCGGCCGCGCACGCCTGGCTGCGGCCAGAGCCCCTGCGCGTCCCCGGGCCATGGCACGCTCTGCTGCAGCCCCTCGCTGATGTGTTTCATGGGAGAGTGAAGAGTCCTTCGGCCGGGAGGCAAAGGGACCTGGGTGGTGACTGCATTAGCCCAGAGGGATGCTGTGGTTTCTCGGGGCAGCTGCGGCAGCCCCAGATGCCGCGCTCTGCCGGTACGCGGGGCGCGCGCTTTCATCTCAGAAATAGTTTAACATTTCTGGATATTCATTTAGATGTGGTATGCGGGTTAAACATAACGTACGATCGCTGCTCCTCTCATTGCTTCCAATTAAACCTTGCTTGTTAGTTTAACCTCTAGGTAATCCCATCAAACAATTGATGTCAAGGAAACACTGCCCACAGTGGCTCTGGATGAGTGGCCATTAATTTTAATTGCCTTGATATTAAAGATTAAGAAGTATTGGGACTAGCAGAATGGAAACGATCTGATGTCAAGCAAATCCACTCGTTGAGGCTTCCCCAGGCTGCTGGTGATATTAAAATTTTACTGTGAGAATTAAATAAACCTTTATTAGTGATGGCTGTTGTTTGATTGGTCCAGGGGCGTGCATAAACAGAGGGGTCTCGCACACATCCGTGGACAATACAGTTGATGTACAGAGATTCCTCAATTATGAAACTGTTAATAAAGCATAATCTGATTGTCCACAATAATTATTTGCAAGGTTTCATTAATGTATTATTGCTTCTCTGACTGACAAGGTAATATTAAGTGCAATATATAGAATATGGTGGAGTATTATCTAGGGAACGGAATGTATAAGGTACTGTTCGTATTACTGTTAAAAGCTAGAGGCTTTTCATTAATTGTCTTTAAACAAAAGATATAGCTACAGAAAATACAGCAGGATTTGTCTCCTCCCGTCAGCGGGGTGCCTTCCTGGGCGCTGTGGTGTGGGTGCCCTACCAGGCGCTGTGATGGAGCACGGGGGTATGAGAGGTGCTGCAGAGCTGCCGCAGCTTGTGGCAGGGCGCAGCCATGGGGCTGCGGGGGCCCCAGGGAGCGCGGGACCCCAGCCCCTGCCTCACCCCACACGGCTGGGTCCCTCGCTGTGGGGATGGCCGATAACCACTTGGGTTGTTACTGTCCCCTCCCCTTTACCTCTGTGTTGTTACAGATGCTTTTTTGTCTCGGCAGCCTTGGCTGTCGTCCGTGTTACAAACTGGATTTGTTATTTAGGAGCTCTGTTATAGCAGCTGAAGTTAAACAAAGCCACTGAGAAAGATTGTACGAACTTTTCTGAGCGGCTCCAGCCGTGACCTCTGCATGGGTTAATAGTCGGTGCCCCGTGAGCCATCTTGGCTTCAGTTCAGTATCTTCAAAGGGAGATGACAAAGTGACTTTTCAGCCATTATTGATTTATATGATTCCTTTCATTTTCAGCCAACCAAACACGATTCTATGAGTGGGCTGCCAAGGTTGTTCCAGCCCAAAAATAAAGAACAATTGCTCTCACTGCCCGCTCGCCCTCACTCAACCGGACCTTGGTCCCCCTTCAGCAGCTTTCGGGGTCTTGCACTGATTTCATTGACAAATGGCTCATAGTAGTAGGAGACAATGCTGTACTAAATGCTACAGCAAGCCCCAGGATATGTGTCATCATCAAAGGGTCAGCCCTTGTGCATCAGTTTGCCAACAGAGGAGCAGAGCCAGATCACGCTCATATCCATAGTAATATTTAACTGATCCTTGGTTACTGCTTAGTTAACTGGAGTACCCAGCAGATACGGGTTGGGGGCTGGGGCACATGTATTTGCTGGACCAAACATGACATCTTGAAGTGATCGTATTTTGTTGGGTCAAGCACTTTGTGTCCTTCACTCTTCCTACCTCTCCCCACTGCAGGTGTCCAACTGGTTTGGCAATAAGAGAATCAGGTACAAGAAGAACATTGGGAAGTTCCAGGAAGAAGCCAATCTCTACGCGGCAAAGACGGCTGTGACCGCAGCACACGCCGTGGCCGCCGCCGTCCAGAACAACCAGACAAACTCCCCCACCACACCAAACTCTGGTACGTACCCGGCTCGTGTGTTAAAGCATCCCGAAGGGCAGTCCGTAAAGGAGGACCCTCGATGGCACCCTAGTGAGTTCGGTTGGGCTGAGAAGGCTGCAGCTCCCTAGCAGACCTAATCGTGGCATGGAGAGTGGTAGCAAGCCCATGGACCTCCAGGTTGGACCACCGCAAAGGCTGAGCACTGCCGTAGGTGGTCCCAGCGGCTTCGGCGGCGAAGCTCCTGCGGCCTTATGGGGGACCCACGTAATTCCCACAGCGGTAATGTGTGCCTGGCTCGGGCTTCTGGCAGCTTCTGTATTTCCGTAGATATTTTAAGCTTTTTCTCATTCAATGAAAATAACATAAAATGAGGCAGAGCTCCGAGTCTGTTTTTGTAGAACTGTTAAATTTATTGTCAAGATAAGAACAAAATAGAGGAATATTTTAGCATGCACTAATTAGAATTTAAACTCTGGGTTGCTTGAAATTGAGTTTATATTATATATAGAAATCTAAGGATGCAACTTTTATTTTGGAGTTGCTCTACCACATGTTCTTCTGCAGTATTTAAAAATTGTCTCGCTAGTGTGTTGTTGACATTTTGCAAATCTAAGCATTAAATTAGTAGGGGGAGCGTTTAAAGAGGAAGTTGCTTTTTTGGGCTCCAG